TAAAAATATAACTAAAATAATTTACACTTAAAAAGGCATTGCTTCTACAGCGTGTTACACCCAAAAGGAGTTAAACAATCATAATTTTTTCTGGGTACGCCGGGTAAATTTTGCAAGTAAATAATAAATATCACCTATCTAAATAATTGTTAAAATTATATCAAGTCTATATATTATATAATATTAAAATATATTAAGTAACTATCTATTAGGTAAAAATTAATAATATTAAAAATAAATTTAATAAAAAGTAGTAACAGTATCCCTAACCAGGCCGATTGTCAAGTTGCATGACCTTCGGATTTTCTTCTTGTCATAATGGCTTGAATATGAGTATTTTATATATCATGTCTTCCAGTGCACATTTTATGACAGGTGGTTAAGGGGACATAAATATCATCAATAAATAATAAACGTCATAATCTGTTTGTTCAGTCCCTTAAATGACAAATACAATTTTTGTCGGTTTACCTATCCATTGACAACCCTGCTGTTTTTGTGGGTTATTTAAATATTTCATTCTTGTTCAACTTAGAATGAATACAATATAGGCCATCAGTGGCGTGGTGAACATTTATAAACCTTGATGCCCAGCATATATTTCAGTACCTACCCCTTCTTTATCCCCTTAATATAATATATAATACATATAATTATTATGGAACTGTAAATATTTTAATTTTTGTTGTATGTTATTGGTTACCATAATGTACCCAACCACCCCACCCCAAAAAAAAAAATTCACCATGACGCCTAGGCGTCATAAAACCCCATTCACCACGCCACTGTAGGCCATTATAGGTTATAAGTATATCGTATATACATATAGTTTTTACATTTTTTCAAAGGAAAAATGTAATTTATACAAAGTAAATAACCATTTATAAGTTACCTACATACCATGTTTAAAACATATTATTGGTTTATTATAATCTTTTAATATACCTAAAGTTTAAATTGAATTACTCTTGTACCAACATCAGTTTTTTATATGTAAAAAAAACATGTCATACATTTTTAAAACTGTAGTATACAATATATAAAATATCACCTACAATACTTCAAGTTCCAAGTAATTTACACTTTATAAAAATAACTTAACTTTTTTTATTATCAACCAGTTATGGATTTCAAATCGTCATGAGGAATTTGCATGTATAATTTACCAAGTTATTATAAAAATAATACAATTACCTATTATGGGTTATTTTAGGGGGGGGGTGGGGTAAGATTATAAAATTATAGTCTTTATTCAATTATATTTACTATTCTGTAACCACAAGCCATCGCAAAAAGGTAAAAGTTAAGATTATTGATAACAGGCGGTATACAAAGTGCCACAGAAAGATCAAACAAATAAAATAACTTTTGTTCTAGTCGATATTTTAAAAACATTTACAGAAACTTGCTTTAAATGTGTAGTGTAACATTTTTTTATTTTTTAATAGGTGACATTAAAATATTAATATTTTATTAACATTTTTAAATAATGTTAAGAACTTGTTAAAACTTTAAGTTAATGAGTCTTACTTCAAATTTTTTATAAAAACTCATAAAAAATAAACCACTTGACTTAGATAAATGTTTTTAAAACCAAGTTCTCTAAAACTAGATTTCCTTATTGGCTGTTCTGAAATAAAAAAAAATTTTTTATAAAATTTTTACCACATAACAATAATTAATTATATATATATATAAATAAAAAAATATTGATTAGAACAAGTTATTTCATTTGTCAGGTCTTCCTGTTACACTCTGTATAATTCAGTACTCAGTGTTGTACATCACATCATATATATAATATAATAAAACTCAATTAAAACGTACAATAATATTCTATAATCTATAAGGTATTAAGTTTCTATTATTTGTGTGCCTAATCACAACTGTTTATGAATAGAATCAAATAAGTAGGTGTATTTTATTTTGCTATAAACCAATATAAATCTATATTATTTGATAATTTGTTGAAGAATTTTAGCCTATATTAGGATTTGTATTAAAGTATAAGTTAGTATATTTACTTCTAAAATAATTAAATAATAATAATTTTAATGTAGAAATAATACCAAAAATTCATGTTGTTAACAGCATATAATAACTAATAGAGTAATATAAGTTACATAAATGTAATACAGAACTATTTTCACTTGTTTGTTAGGTACAGAGAGTTTAAACTTAAAACTGTGATGGTTATTTGAACATTTTTTTCTTTATCTATAATATGGTGTAATGTAATATTAATTAATAAATGAATGTTTTAGGAATTTTAACAAATATTTACATTACTCTGCACTTTAGTGTCAGCATTTTTTATTGTAACCAGTTCAATAATATAATTTTATATAAAAAAATAAAAACAATTGTTATTTAATAACCCATTTTAATTCTTAAATTACTTATTGAGAATAAGTATTTACATTTTTAAACATTCAGCTAAAACAAAAATATACCAGTGTTAATTATTTATTGCTCGATTTGTATTAATATTTTTCTAATAGATATTTTAGAAATAAGAATAACTAAGTACTAACACATAGATATAGGAATAATGTCTTATATTATTTAACTAGTTATAATAATAAAATAAATAGGTATATTATTTTTAAGTTGAATAATTTATACAAGAATAATAACTAATTATATAAATACCAAAATAAAAATAAATATAAATAAATATATATTGAAATTTCAGTCAAGACCACATTTTAAACACATAAAATAATACTAGAATGTAATTTATAAATTATATCATAATACCATAGCCTCATACTTGTAAAAATAAAGAGCTTACTATAACATTATTACATCAAAACATAGATAATGTTGAATTTATATGGATAATTTCCAATTCTGAATTTGGTTATAAACTTTCTTCGTCCGGTTTAGGTATAATCTGTTAAATTGAGGAAACAAGGATTACTTTTCTATAGTTAGAGAAGTAACCAGATTATATTCTATATATTCAACGTTTTATACTTGAGATAGATATATAACCTATAAAGAAACTATAGATAAAGTACTATTTCTATATTAACAATTTTTAAGAGTTAATAATTTTTGTTAAATGTTTAGTCAACTATGTGTAATGTTTATAAGTAATTGATATTTAAACTAATATTAATAAGATTAAATACACCTACTACAGGCCAATATGTTAATAACACAGACGGAGTCTAATTTGAAAACTTTAGTAGAATCTAAAGAGTAAATGTACACTTAATTATTATAGAAAATAACTTTCTATAAAAAAAAATAAACATACAGTTCAAATTCTTTCAAAATATTAATAAAATATAATTCAGAATACTAATAAAGTAAAAAGAAAATATACCAATTACCTTTAATAAATGCCTCCACCAGTAGGAAGTAGCCTATAATAAGTAGCCATATAGTACTCTGTCTTAGCGCACACAGAAGTTTGAGCGAATAGTAGGGCATTTACTCTGAAACATTTGTTTCCCTTCAGTATGTTATAATATTTTGTTTTAAACATTATTATTATTATTATTAATTGCACTGACTAATATAGTATGTAATATCCAATTTGTAAAAATCCGATTGAAATAAATGTTCAGAATAACATTGCAATATGTGTTCTTCAATGACCAATAACCGTACATTTTCTGAAAACAAATGGTTTTTCAAAACATGGTAGTCTGCAAACTAAACGATGTAGGTATTTATTTAATACAAATAGTGACATTTTATTTCTTCAATACAACAGACAATAAACACAAAATGGATAAAACATACTATACTCTACTAAACAAACTGAACGTAGGTACCTAATGGAACACAACATTGATAAAAGCCAATCACTTGTGTGGCATTTCTTTATTCTTCAGGCGTTGTTCAGTGCAAAAACAAATATTATCCATCCTGAAAGCATTTATGAGTCAAAATACTTGTTTTTTGCAAAATAATATGCAAAAGGATATTATTGAAAAATTTTGAAATATAAAACAGTGATATTTGATATAGTGTATTGATTATTATTAATATATAATGAATACACAGTAAATATTTTTATTAGACTTAAACATCTTTCCAGCCCTTTAGGGTTCACACAAAAATGTAAAATACAGTTACTACAAATGAATCTCAGACACCTAAGGAAACATGTCAATAATACACAATATTAAATATATTAACTATAATAGTATTGTAAAAAATTATTTTATATATTTATTTTATTTGTAAGTCACAGTTTCTCACAAAATATTTTATGATTAATCAGTTTTAATTGTTTGTACCAGTATACAAAATACAAGAATCCATTGTATCTTATACAAATTATGTTGTCAACAAAGTGTTTTATATTCAGCTCAGACACCTAATTCCAATTAAACATTAGGTATTATAATTAAGTTTTTTTTAACTAGGTATTATGATAACACAACAAATACATGAATAATATATAGCATAATTATAATTATACAAAATTCGCAGTTGATTTAACTGAAATGGTGAACGCACTCGGTTCTTCATAATTTTTACAACCTTATAATAGAAATAACATCTAAAATAATATAATATAATATAATGCATGCCTAGCATCCTATTAATAAAATGTCATACTGTAGTTACACTAGATGGAATTAACAATGTATTGTAATAACCTAATCTAGTATTTATATATATATATATATATAAATATGTATGCATATACTATATATATATACTAATTAAATATTGATATTGATTTACATAAGATGTAAATAAATAATATATACACGCACATATATATATATATAAATATATATATATAGGTATATATTAATTATTAAAGACGGGGGGACAAAATTATATAAAAAGAACTTACAATAGGGCCGTAAATGTGCTATAAATAATGGAACAGCGGGTTAAATTAAATTTATAATTTTTATTTTCATACATCTGTTTTCTAATATTTTAGTATTTTTTTAGATTTATATACAGAGCACAAATGAGAAAACTTATAAGATTTCAACACTTAAAGAAATCTATTTTATCGGTTGTCACTGAGTTTGATACTGCATTGAGTAAACTCCAGCTTGCATATTGGCTGGTGTTGACATCTGTTGTCCATTAGCAGCTTGTCCTGTTCCATTACCCATTTGATAAGCAGTGGCATTCGCCATCTGATATGGATATCCAGTATATTGACTGTATGCAGCAGCACCACCATAGCTGGCGGCTTGCATACCCTGCACATATTGGCCTTGCATTTGAGCATATGGGTACCAGTAATTCATTCCTTGATTATATGCCATATTATATGAGTATTGACCAGTAGTATCTGTACTAGCTGCGGCCTGCGCAGCTAGATTAGCTGCACTGTTTGGGTCACCTGACTCTTTACCCCAGAAACATTTAACGGGGTGTCCGTTTATTTCTGTATTGTGTACAGCTTCAATAGCGGTTGTAGCCGCTTCTTTTGTTGAAAATTTAATAAATGCATATCCTTTATCTCGGAATGCTCGAATTTCAACAATTGTGCCAAAGCGTGAAAACACCTGTTCAACTAGCTCTTCTGTTAAGCCTTCAACAATGCCTCCACAGTATACTGTACAGTTTGTTGGACTGGACTGATTATAGACATCATCAAATGTCACTGCTCGATAACCACTGTACTTGTTTGGGGCCCTAGGTGGAGGTGGTTTTCTTGTTGACCAATTTGTCCTGATACTCCGACTACCCAACCATTGACCATTCATAGAATTAATAGCATTTTCGGCATCAGATTTTTTTACAAATGATACAAACGCGTATCCTTTAGACTTTAAAGTCTGAGGGTCACGTACAATACGACAGTTGGAAATCTCCCCGAATGGCGCAAATGCCTCTTTTAGAGTGTGTGTTTCAATTTCAGGGCTTAGATCCCCAACAAATATATGATAATGGTTACTTGTGTCAAGCTTAGGCTGATTGCCAGGTGTTGTGGCCCAATTGACTTTCATCTCTTTGTCTAAGAAGAGTCGACCATTCATTGCGGCTAGTGCTGTAGCCGCGCCCGAATGAGTGTCGAATTCAAGAAACGCATAAGGATCACTGCCTGGCTCACGTATTACCTTGCATGCATTTACTGGACCAATATTAGTGAACAATGCACACAGCAACTCTTCGGTGACTGATGGGTCTAAATTACCAACATATAGGGTACGAGGATTGCTCTCGTCACTCATTTTAAACTGTTACTTCTATCGGTTTTTTTTTATTTTAATAACAAAATAATACTTCGTACGTGTTTCAATAGCAAACGTATTTAAAGTGTTGGTTTACTCACAGACTGTTTAGCGTTTGTTGACGAAACAGATGACTCGTCTTGGAGCGGTTGCACAAACAATGGACGGGCGTATCGTTTTATCCGTTTCGGAAAAACCAAATTGAAACGTAGGCGATTCACCGAACGCCGGCAAGACTCGGCGGATAAAGTGCGAATATGATACTTAGAGAAGATGCAAACGAAAACAAAAAAAATAATAATAATAATCAAAACACGATTCACTAACGCCTAACGAGATACACCATTTTATTTTCAGGAAAAAATATACGTAAAGCGAAAAAGTTCACGTAAATAATGAAAGGTTAAAAAAAATGTTCGTATCACCACTTTTTGCAGTGTAGGCAAAATCGGCGCGTCCAGTTGCCGACACTGGTTGCCGGCGGACGACGACGACGAACCGGCCGCATTTTCGTCCGCCAGCAATGACGTTGGTGGGGATGTTGTGGTTGGAGGTGTGGATCAAAAAGCCGTCGGCGAATTTCCCCGAAGTGGCGTCCGCGAGAACACCATCGGGAGACAATTTGGTTCTTCCGGCGAGGCGGCACTGCGACCGGCGCTGACGTAATGCTCTGCGACCGACCGTATACAACACGACCATTGTGTAACGGTGCGCACAGATAGTGCAGCTGTACTGCTGTTAAATATGGCGGCAAAGTACAAACGCAACCTCTTCATTCGCCGCCGCTACACATAAGCCAAGTGATGACGTTTGTCTTATGTGTTCTCGTTCGAATGGCTGTTCGGTGTTTGGTTGTTCAGTTGTTCATTTTGTTAGTACTTAGTCTTTATTTATTACTAGCCGGCAATAGTAACACGAACGACTTACAAAAGAAAAAAAAAAAAAACGATTTTTGTTTATGTTGTCATGCACTGTTTTGTACTTAATTATTATTATTATTATTATTATTATTATTGAGTAGTCGTCGTCGCCGCCTTATAGGTACTTACTTACCCGACGTGTACCTATGGTAATCGGAAAAAAAGTCCCGAAAAAAATGAAAATATATCAAAATTGAAATATAAATATGTTAAAATTATATTGAAAAATACATTAAAGTTATATAAAAAAATCATATAATATCATAAAAAATATAAAGGAGCTTACATACCTACCTATATAGTGTATATATTATAATATATATATTTAATTTTCAAGTTCCTTAATGAAGATCATATTTTTGGCTTTTGCTATATCTTAGTAATTTACTATTTAGTTTTAGTGTAATAATGATATGGATTGTATCAAATTGTATAGATAAATATAAAAATTTTCATATTATAAATTATTCATCATAGACTGAAAGGTAATAAGGAAAGGTAATTTTTAAAAAATGTTAGTTTGTTATAATATTAATTCATTCTCGATGGATTTTCAAATATAGTAGACTAATAAATCTTTGGTAACGGGGAAAAAGGGCTTAAGTCCATTTTACCAACTTTTTTGTGACAGCAGTATCAAAGTTTGAAAATTCCTACTTGTAAGTTCATTATATCCATACATATTTAAGATATTTTTATATTATATATATTACATCCTTAATGCAGGTAACCATTAAAATTCTTGTTACTATGAATATTTAACGAGATAACTGTAGTTATGCCCTTTTTATTTCACTTGTTCTAACTTAAGCCCTATATTTGTCCACGAAATGTCTTTTTGATTTCATTTATTTTGACTTATGTATTTTTGTCGAGGCATAAGTCATCATCGCCTTTTCTACCCAACGTAGAAACGGTTATGTTTAGATGTGCCCTATTTATTTCTTCAATGATGTGAGTAATATTCGTCACTGACTTATGACAAATGTATACCAAAAAAATCAGCAAAAATTAAGCTTTACATATGCGGAAAAACATTTTTTTTGTGAAAAATTGACTTGAGCCCTTTCTACCCCGGAGCAAAGAAATATATTCGAAATTACTATAAATGCTTATAACTTGAACTTTGATTAGGAACATTACATAAAAAAAAAAGTTTTTTTGTATAGTAATAGGTTATATTGTGCAGTATACCTATAAACAGGCATTTTTAACAGGCGTAAGTCATAAAATCATAAAATAAGAAAGAGGTCAAGAGCCAGAGGTGTACCTAATTGGCTAATTATAATTTTACACTTTTATAGCATTATTATAATAATAAATTATATTGGTACTATAATTGTATTTATTATTGACTAATGTATTACATTTTATTATTTTAGACTTGTATTATTATAAATTGTATTACATTTTAATATGTGATTAAAGAAATTAACATTTTTTATGATATTATATGATTTTTTTTTATGTAACTTTAATGTATTTTCAATACAATTTTAACATATTTATACTTTAATTTTGATATATTTTCATTCATTTTTAATATCGGGACTTTTTTTTCCGCGATTCTTACCTATGACGTATTTGACGCTGTTGAGCTATTTTACATTTTTACAACCTTACTGAAAACGATTTTACTTAGGTAATAATAGTATGTTTATTGTATTAATAATATTCATCGCAGTTTTCAACTTGTTGCTTCAAGTCGGAGTTACAATAGCTGTCCCGTGTCCGCAGCTAATTCTTTTAAGAGATAAAAAATAATAAAAATAATAATAAATTATTTCCCTTCCACTAGTACCTATCAGTTTTTCCTGATAAAAATAAAAAAGACAAAAAAAATTAAAAAGTTTGGATTTTTTTGAAAAATATTTCTTTAGATTGGTATTTCAATAAAAGTTAAAACATTATATAGGTATACAACTATACTACAGTCTACAGGTGTTTATTTTAACGGTTGTTATTCTGCATACCAGCACTATAATAAGTAATAATAGATATACCTACCTACCTAAATATTACAAATTTGACCTACAGTGTTCGTCCATAATAATTTTAGGCAGTACTGCAGTAGGCACAACATTTTTGCTGAACTAGCATAGGCGCGAATTGGGGGGGGAGCAACCCCCACTCTAAAAAAAAAACCTAGGACATAAAATTTGTATTATATACTATATTGCAATGGTCTGCTTGCCTTTAAAATATTCAGCCCCCCCCCCAAGCCAAAAGTTGAAATTGCGCCTATGCGAACTAGTGGTAGCCAGTAGACTAACCAGATGTCTATTATCGCTGACCGCGTCGATAATATATAAATATTAAAATATATATAATGTAGCCATGTAGGTACAATTTAATATACCTATTCACAAAACTGCCACAAGAATTTTACTTGTAATTAATTATATTAAAACTATATTTTAAGTTTGAATTGTCGTTAGTCACACATTAGTACATTACCTATAATACTTTGATTGGTAGTGTCATTTCAGTTTTTTGGAGGGGGCGGGGGCAAAATTGTTGAAAGGCCCAAAATAAAACTGAAATATACCCCTCGCTAATAATTACATTACATTACAATTGCATTTTTATCTCAATACAAATAGCATTCTTACATAATTTTGTACTTACTGGTTACTATCATAGTCATAAATAACCCATTCTTTTTGAGAGATAACAAAAAATATCTCATAATATGTAGAGGGATAGGTACCTAAATATATTATCTATTAGCTACTATATGAAGACCCAAAACTAGCCTACATCCGGCCCGATAGTAACAAGTGGGGTAATTGCCCACCCTGCCCTCCCCTCCAAATAATGCCACTGACTTTGATTAAATGTCAATAGTAAAAAAAGTTTACAGGAATGATTGGAATGAAGTATAGGTAGGTACAGCACAAAATGTTACATTGAGGAAAAATATTTTAAATGGAGTTTTATGAGCATATTTTTTTCAGTCACGGATATGAATTTCTTCTGGCCGATTGAGAAGGTGATACATCAATTTTGCATTTTTTCACACATAGTAGACGTCTATCTTCTAAAAAATGCAATAGTTCTGATTCGCAAAAATAATTTTTGTAAATATGAATAGTACCTAAATACCTTTACTGCAGCTGAAAAAATAATTCAAGTATAATTTACGAATAAACGCATAATATATTACTGAGAAAACGAGTAAGGTTACGTCTAATATTTTGTTTAAGTTAAACAGAACATTTTGTTAGTTGTTAGTTGGTTATACACTTATAATATGGATGTTTCCCTGTAGTTATACTAGAAGTATGTAATTAGATACAGTGGAAACTTATTTTTCATCATATTTATTTTATATATATATTAAGGACTACCCACCCTTATCTCTTTCTATACATGGATAATTGATAAATCTGATAGTTTATCTTGAATCTTGACCCATGATGTGGTACGTGTACAAGATTTTTAATTATTATTTAAGATAACCATGACCTTTGGGGGGCTGGCATTTAAATTCAGGGTTCTAAGCAACTTTATCACTCCTGTGATTTGCGATACTTCATAAAGTCATAAATCGGTAATTTATAAAAAACATGAATTCCCTATTTTCTTAACGCTTTATTATCAGCATTGCATCCACCAAAACAATCCTAGATCCTCCACTGACCAAAATAATAATTATAATTTATAACATAATATAATTTCTAAGGTGGATTGATCAATAATGTTTGATACTTTCCATGTTGTACCTAATTGGCTATACCTATAAATAGTGTTTTGAATATTATATTCGTGGTTATAATTTATAACGATTCATAATAATTATTGAAATAGTCGTGCTTAGGGCCGCCATTCAATCTATATAATATAGTGAGTGTCATCTATATATTATGGACCATATTGATCCAGATATATCATACAAAATATAATTTGATAGGTATTAGGTACATTTATAAAAATTATTAAATTTATATCTACGCCTAATTTAATTTTAAAAAGGGTAAGGGTTTATACTTCAACAGCTACTCTGCATGGTCATAGGATCATAATTCATAAGTATAAGTATAATTATTGGAACCTTGCAGATAAATTTAATAAAACTATAAAATAGATATCTGTGGTTAATAAGCTACATACTAATACATCCATCTTGAAATAAGTTTTTATAGCATTATATTAATATAGGTAATAAGGGGTTAATTTAAGGGGATTGTAAGCGGCGATTTTCTGTCTTTGTCTAACACACGTGCAACATAGGATTATAGACGTGTTCTATTTCCAACGTACCGATTAATCTAGTGAAGCGATAAGAACTCTGTAAACAGATTTGAATTTGTCGTCAAGTCTACTTGAGATCGACTTCCCCACATTTTTGATATTATACCCAAAAAATCATAAAAATTATATATTAAAAAGAGTAATTAAAAAATTGCCATATTTCAATTTTTGGAGAAGTTTTAATCAAAATATCAAAAATGTGGGAAAGTCGATCTCAAGTAGACTTGACGAAAAATTCAAATCTGTTTTCAGAATTCTTATCGCTTCACTAGATTAATCGGTACGTTGGAAATAGAACACGTCTATAATTCCATGTTGCACGTGTGTTAGACAAAGACAGAAAATCGGCGCTTCCAATCCCCTTAATTGAATTTATTTTTGCAAAACTATGCATTAACATGATTCTTGTAAGTAGGAACTTGTTTTGTTTTTTTTTTTTTTTGAACAAAACAAGAAATAGGTAAATAATAAAATTTAGATTTAAAATTAATTAAGTAGTAATAATATTATTTTTATTAAGTGTGGTGCTATAAATGTAGATGTCTAAGCTTATTTATTATATACCTACCTGTCGAGTCTCTATCTGATAATTTATTATTTTGTGGATGGGTTATTATATGGTATTATAAGTGTCGAAATAAAAATAGAATATAAATCCTAAAATTTTCAAACAATGATATTATATAATAATTATTATATATTAATGATTATAAATTGTTATCAAAATTACCAATTGTAATGGAAGAATTTTTATTTACAATAAATTACAATGAATTTCATTGAAATATAATAGTACATCACATATTCAAAAGGCATAGATACAATAATATGCATTTATAATAATAATAATAATAATACAATAAATTCATATAATGTTAAATTTAAAAATCAAAATAAATATTGACAAAAATAAGTTGTGTTTAAATTTACTGAATAAATATATTATACATAGGTAATACATAAATGATATCAAGGGCTAAATTAGAATACATATAGGTAGTATAAATAAAATATAAAAGGCGATTGGACGATTAGGTACCTATCAATTTAAGCACAACTTATTTTCATTGAGTAAAATACAGAGTTCCAACAAGCAACAGTAAGTTGTAGTCTACGTGAACATTTTACATACCTATTTCAATAAAAACAATAATATTATGTTCATTTCCCAAATGACTTTATAGAACGTAATATTGTATTTAATAATTTAAAATATTAAATTTTACGTTTAAAATTTGTAATTTCATATATTTATATGCATACAATGTCATTTTTAATATCTCATTATTACTTAAACCTTTAGTTATATATAGGGATTGGGCGAGGTAAACAATAAATTAAGTTTGACATTAAATATTTTTTTTTAACTTTACATTAATTCGTATGAACGCAAACCTAACGGACATAAATTACCATAATCATTCGTAATTTAAATTAAGTTCATTTTTAGTTTTTGTATTTAATTTTGCTCGGTTTCGATAAGAGTTATGATATAGATAATGATAGACATTTTCGTAAATATAATACCTATCAACATTACATGCATTGACTGTTGAAAGAAAAGAATACAATTTATTTTATTTAATCAAACTGTAATCTTTTTCATTTTATGATTTTTTATGAAATAAATACATTGTAATAAAACCAATAATTGCAAAACCTATATTTTATTGTATATTTTGGATCTACCTATTGAAGATACACATTACCTGAGTTATATTTTTGATATGTGTTTCATGTCCCTATTAACAATAACAAAATATGTAAAATTGTATATATATTTTTTTTATTGGATGAGGAATTTATGTATGAATAATAATAATTATATTGTACCTATACACTTTAGGTAGGTATAGTTTAAATTATCTATCAAAAATATCAAGTATGACAGTATTTTTTTTTGATCTTCACAACTTGAAGTACAAATTTTCAAACATATCAAAGAAGAAGTAATTATGAACAAGAAGAACACTGAACAACTGAAACAATTAAAACCTATCAATGTAGGCCATTTGAAGTATGAATTATTAGCTTATTAGTTATTTAATCATCTTAGAACCTATTAGACATTAGTATTCGACGGTAAAAAAAAAAGTACTATTATCTTACAGTTATTAGTTTTGTCAGAGGATATAGGTAACAATAATAATAATAACACAATACCAATAAATACAATAGAAACAAATTCAGTGGCTTGGTGTGGCGCAGTGCGTACACTCAACTGCGGAAACGCACTGAGTGTACTTAATGCCCGGGTTGCTAGTTCTCGGATGGGTGACCACCCGGGATTTTTAGCAACGAATCTTTGCCACACATACAAAACTTGTTTTCAACCGTTCCTCCCCCTACTAACAACCTACAAAAAATAGCTAATGACCTAAGTTGCAGGGCTCAAGCTCAATAAAAAAAAAAAATAGAAACAAATAAATAAATTGAACTTAAGTTAAAGAGTTACTATATTAACATTTTTTTGATTATAATATATTATAATTATTTATAACGCGAAAACATTGAAGTAGATATCCAATAGAAAGAACAATTGGACACAATTTTTAGATTACCCTGTAGCAAACAGAATTATTATAATATTAAGTATTAGTTACAATAACGATATAAATATCATATTGTATGACTACGTTATTAGTTATTACTGTGAAAGAAATATATTGAAAAAAATTTTTTTTATCTCATGTAATAAATATTATTCCAGCAAACTCTAGTAAACGTCAATAAATCGATAAAAATACATAATTATATTTTGTTTTAAGCCAATTATTATAGGTCTTATAAAATTACGTGTTGTATTTAGGCACAAAAAAACTATATAACAATAATGGTAGACCAATATGGTTAGGTACGGACGTACGGTATGGAGTATACAGATAGACGCGTTTCCGGCGGTGGTGTGTGGCATACGCATATTATAGTAATATAGTACAATATTATTGTTTAATATAACGATGCGATTGTTTCCGGTTCGCGTACATCATATTATATTATATCCGATCGATGGCCGTACAGCAATCATTGTTAAAATGACGTCAGCGTATAAGGTTATATTCTGTTGTCTCCGTCTGCCACTTACAAAACAATAACAAAACCGATCTTCGCAAGCAGTTCTCACTTTGTTACCAAACTGCAGTTCACACATAATTGTATTATAAGGTTTTACAACCAATTAAATAAGTGCACCGAGAAGGCGGGTGGCATTTACTAAACATAGGTGTATAGAGATAAATATTGTGTCCCTTCCCCTCATTTATTGGGTAATTTACCTATATTTTAATTGTAAAATATTATAATGAGCATTCGTGAGTATAGTGACACATAGATACAAGAATGTATTAATAAGTTACGCTGACATTCTCCTTTGAAATAGCCAAAAAGGGTCGATGGTCACTGCGGCCATCTAGCGGAGTTGTTTGATTTTATGTTTTTGTGTCTTTTATTTTGTTTTTTAAATGTTGTTCTTTCTCGTCATCACATAAGTTTATTTCGGCTGTCTACCAATTGAACAGGCTCGCCCGGTCTCTCGTGCCTACACGCACTTCGGGCGAGCGTGGCTCGTTTCACAAAACAGTGTCTAACGTGTCCAGCGACTGGAGTATTCCCTCGTCCCGGCTGCACCATTCGATCAACTCATCTAAGGTCACGTTACCGTCATTGTTTTTGTCAATTAACTGAAACAAATAACACCGAATTATTATTATTATTATTATTCCACCCGAATAACAAATCGGTGCAGCGTCCGCATATATTAACATTATGTATATGAATATTGAAAAGTGAATAATGATCGATTTATTGATTTCAATTCAAAATGTTATACTCATTTTATCAGTATTTAAAAAGAACCAGATAAAAATTTGAAAAAAATAGGATTGTGTAAAATATTATATATTATTTCCAATACATTTATTTACATATGATTATAATATGATAAAAATATTAATTATTGTTTTTATAGTACTTAATATAAAATTATAGTTTTTTTTTAAAAATTAATTAAAGTACCTGGGTACAATTTAAGACGTAGGTCCATTTTTACTTTCTTTAAATATTGTTTCTTTTAAAATTTTTATTTGTTCTTAAACAATAATGATATAAATTATAAGCCACTTACATGAAAAATTCGGTCAACATGGTCTTTTGCAGATTGATCATCTACTTGTGGGTCAGTATGTCTCCCTAGCATGCTATAAATGGAATGTACTACGTCTTGCATTTCTTTTTTTGTTATAACTCCGTCTTTATTGAGATCATACAACCCAAATATCCAATGAAGTTTCTCTTGAACACTTCCTCGAGAAACTTTGGACAATATGGCCAAAAAATCCTATGAAAAAAATATGCATTATATTAATTATAATTACAATTTGCAATAGTATGCGGAAGTTATGTAGTTACTATATAGATAAATATATCAAATCCGTTAAATTAATCCATATACAGGCCACATCGTATCTCACAAGATTAGACCGCGTTTATATAATATATAGGTACATACACAAAGGCATAAAGCCGCATACCTATCGTACTTCTATATGTGTCTATGTACTCCTCTACTCACGTTTTGCTCAAACATTGAAAATTACTTCTATTTATATTTTCTATATTATATGTCAAATAGGTACCAAAAAAATACTTAATGTAATTTGTTACACTATTATTATTTTCAACAACTACAATGTGCAGGTTTATGGTATGAATGTATATTGTTATTATTGTATATATAATGTGTCGTAGTGGGCACATATTACTTATTAGGATATGAAAAAAAATAAATACATATTTTATCTTATAGTATGTAAGATAATAAAATATATAAAACGATTTCCGCATTGCACTCTATTATTTTTTTTTAATTTTTATTATTATTTTAATTATTGAATAATATTTGCTGTAGGTACCTACATTTTTTTTAAATCTCGTTAGTAAAGATTATGATTTACAATATTGAATTAAGTTTGATGTAATGTATTGCTGTAACGAATACAGTCATGCGGAAAACAAATATAATATATATTAAAATATATATGATTATTTTCCGGTTTAACGGACACGCTTTGTCCCTGGAAGGCGTAGCATGATAACTCGTTATAGTGGTCTGGGTACATAATATACTCTTTTGAAAATCAGTAACGAGTACATAAAAATAATAATAAAATTTTCAATACGTGGCAGTCACATTAAACATCGTTATATACATGACTGAAATGTAATAAAAGAATATGAATTACCGACTACATACCATTGAAAATGGGCACCTACATACGCAGGAGATGAGAAATTTCAACTTAAATCGTACAATTAATGTAGATGCGTAAAACAATTATTATTATTATTTTGCACAATATATATCAAGCTAAGTATAAACGAAATAATACTACGAAAATAGGGATTTTTCAACTAATTTTGATTTTGAAGTACCTATTATGTTATTTAACACAATACTATTGTAGAGTAAATATTTATCATCACAATATAGATACACAACAGACTTCCTCATTGGGTATTTTAACTCTTTGAGGGGCCGTGGTTAGTATGCTAACCACTTTTTTTTTACCGTTCAGGTGCGGTGGTTACTATTTTAACCACTTTTAAAATTATTTTTAATATTTTTTTGATGATGGTCAGCATACCAATCACCTTATTATCATCTTATACATGCATCAAACAATATCACTGCCGCTGGTCTGATATCATTTCTCGCGTTTTTCATCATTTATTATCATTATCAATATTTTGATATACGTACTAAATGTTATGGTAAATAGACATATTGCCCACATGGGTCTTTTTTCTAAAGGAAATTTTCGCCCCTCAAAGAGTTAACTCAACACATTTCATTCTCAATTATTAATACTACAATTATTATTATATTATGACTTGACCACCCATGTTAGTTTTTACTTTTTAGTCACATATTCCATTGGTTAGAATAGTAAATAATTATACCTAACCCGTAACTTAATGGACAATGACTGAATTATCTATATTCTATAAAGTACTATATGCATGTTCATTGATCAAGAACCACTAGCGGTACATTATTATTAATGACAAAACTGATTTTCGATTAAAACTTTGTACAATTTATTATATTGCATCATGGTTGTCAATATTTTTTAAAATACTAGATATCTTACATATACCAAGGGTTTCCAATTTTTTTTCACGGCAGACCAAATATGTGATACGCTTCGGCATCAGGGGCGAAAATGTTTTAGATATGGATGGGGAGGTAATGAAATTAAAATGTATAAGACATTTTTTTATCAATTCATTAATATATTAAAAACCTATATTTTCAAAATATCAATTATCTTGACGGGTCGGAATCTGTCCTCGGGCCATAGGTTGGAAACCCCAGACATAGACGATCCCTATTAAACGCTTACATACCTAATGGCTAATATTCATCTATATACCTATTTTATAAAATATAACAAATCAAATTAATTTGTAAAGGTAATGTAGTTGAAACATTGAAATCTTTTGCACATTTAATGACTATCCTTAAATATTAATGGGTTCGTCCAATATGGGTTCTTACTTATATTTATTGATTTTAGTTATTATATATATTATTTAACTAAACGGTGACAGGATATATACAGACTACAGAGACCGGCTATTGGACATTCGTCTCGCTTCGCTTAACCCGCCGTAGGACAGTGGTTATTATACATTTGAATTTAATGATAAATAACCTCATTTTAAAAACTGTGAGTATTAGTATTAGGTACTATTATTTTAAAATATTGTGAATAGGTATATGTATATAACGTTTTTTGTTTAGACGTTAAGTTAGGTACTCATTAGAATAACAAATGTTCAAATATTTTGTACATTTTTTTAACAGATACAAAGGCATACTTTGTAATAAAATGTTGAATATGAAAATATATTTTAAAATGTACGAAAACCAAAAAATTCATAAAGTTAAAAAATAATCATAATCTTCTCAATAAAAAAAGTTATCTAGGTAATAGAAAATAGGTATAAGAAATTTTTTGACTCGTATTATGGTTATTAATCCATACATAATAATGTGTATTATGGACTATGGCAAGTCAAACTTTAAAAATAACTGTGCATTGCAGTGTATTGTATGAAAAAAAAATGTTCAAAATTGTATATATATTTATCCCAAAAACGAATGAAATTAGATGATTATTTCACGTTAATGTAGTAAATAAATAAATAATTGATGAAACTATAATAATATTATGATTTCAATTCTGTTAGTGACAAATATGCCGTAAAATGTAATAAATTATTTGTTTTTAGTTTCTTATTACGCTAGAAAAACTAATTAGAACATTTTCTAAATTTTAAACGAAATAATAAAAAAAGGTTGGTAAAGATTTTAATGTTATTGTAATTCTTAAGTTAACAGTTGGTTGTAAATTAGATTTCCTTAATTAATGAAATTTCATGACCAAAAAATAGCTTTTAATGAAGTACAGTTGTTGTTTAAAATAAAAATAAATAAATTATTCAAGCATATTATATTTCATTTTAATCATATAATCTTACATTATGTTTGTTTAAATTAGTGAACGCTTTATTTATATTAAAAATAAAGAAGTGCTATACATTTTATTTAATATTTACATTTTAAACTAAGTCCATCATATAAGTATTAAGTATACTATGTTATAATATTATATACTATACCTACTTTATTATTAAAATGAATATGAATTCTTCATACTGAAAACCTATATACATATTGTACCTATAGGTAGGTATTTACAATTTTTTAATAAAACAATTTCTTTTAATAATTTGTGGTAACTTTTAAATCGAAATTATAAAGTTGAAAAATGATATAAATTTTTTTTATCTACTATTATTTATAATAAAAATAAAAACCATTATTTTATATCATTATTAATCGTTCAAATTTTAAATGTTTGAATTTTAAATAATATACAATTTTTAAACCATTAAAAATATCAATAACAACTTACCTATGTATAATATCAGGAAGATTTATTTTTATTATATTTATTGACTGCAGTTGAGTAGTATTAAAATGTTTATAGGTAGGTATACGACCTCAATGGAATTTCAAGCCTTCGAGAGAGTATTAAAATCAAGACAATAGTTATTTATTGAAGAAATATCGTAAAAATAAATTGAAATTCTTTTGGGTTATTATTGAGTACTTCAGTAGCACACATATAATTTATTGTAAAGTTTATTTTTGTATAGAACTGTTTGAGCGGAGGATCGTATGCACTTCAGTAAAATGTAATGACAATTAAATAAAACATAATGGCACACCAATACCATTAATTGTAATTGTAAATATATTATTTACAATGGTCAATATGACCTACGGCTTGCAAGTTTTATTATTTAAATGTATCTAATGTATTATTAAATCAGTTATATGTATAATGCATTAAACTGCATCGTAAATAATTAATATATAATTTAATTAATAATACATCTATAAGTAAACTGTGGGTATTGGGTAATTAAAAACAAATTGGGGAAAAATATACAACGGTAGCAAAAATAATAACTATTACGTTTTAATTAATTTTATAATAACGGTGAAAGTATTAGACAATTAAAATAATAAAATATTCCCAACAAAAATTAAAATTATTGTTATTTTTACTATTAAAAAAATGCATTTGCATTTGTCCCGATTTTTACAATTAGAATTTACTATTTACCCAACTTCTTATTAGTTTAGTTATTTTAATTTTAATTAGTATTGTATACACTGTATTAAATAACTTATTAATTTTTATAATGCATTATACAAGACATAATTATTGTCTTCTTAAAAAGGTATTTTTAATTTTTCTTGAAACTATTTTATAACTTGACAACAGTTTTTCAAAGACATCAAGGGTCCACGTTAACACTACACAATTGTAAACGAGTATAAAAAAGATTTCCTCATCATAATGGTTGAAAATCATTGATAAGAAACTTCAGGTATTTTTTGTTTGGTGTCCTTTCTGAGATGAATTAAAAAAGTTTTTCTTTTGACCTTTTGATCGACAATATAAATTTTAAAAAAAAACCGTTAAGAATAAAATTCAAGTAAATGATTTTACAAATATTTCAACTATATAAACAGTGCAAAAGTGCAATTATCTGTGTGTATAAATCTTTACTAAACATTTTTTTTTTTAAATATTTTAATTTAAAAAACTAAACTTTCCTTGATATAGTTTTTTCAGGAAAAAAAATGTTAACTAACAAATTTTCAGATTTTTAATTACCTACTTGTATTATAATAATTATAGCTATTTGCTGAATTGTACTAAATAATTATGTTATAATAATTCAGAAGATATCATAAAATGTTATACATACAAAACTTAGTAGAATCATCCTATAAATAACTACCAAAAGCACGTATCTAATAGGTATAAAACCTAAAGAAAAAGTAAAGAATTAGTTTGATGTAGATGCAATATGTGCAACAAGTACAATAAGTACACTTCATATTATTACTGTATCATAATAATATAATATAATTTTTTATTTGGCATAGTTTCTAATTGCATTCTTGTTTTGTAATTATTACTTTTAATGTTGTTGATTTATCAATGCAAAAAAGGGGTTTACGGAAATCTGGTATACCTAATTAAATTTATTTTGCTCCGGAAATGTTTTAATTTATACCTACCTAACTATATATGCATCTGACTCATAATTATTTATCAATATTCAGATTAATGCTGTTTATGTTTACTCATTCAATTTATATGGTAATCAGATATAATATACTATAAGTAAATTTTATTTTACAACTAAAACTTTATAAGCAAAATGTAATTACCTCGAAGCTAATTTTTCCAGTTTGATTTCTCTTGATTGTATTGAACACATATTGGGCATATTGTGAGGCATCTAAAATAAAATATGTTGTACATAATTATAATCATATCAACTTAATAAATTTGAAAAATAATTTATTAAATAGGTAGGTGCACACATTATAGATGACAATAGACTCAAATAATAAATAGGAACCAATTAATAATAAAAAGTTACGAAATTCAAAATAAAAATCTCACATAGTTCTAAACCTAATACACTTCTCGGTCTACTCAGAATCTAAAAAATAGAGGAGCGTACATTTTAAAATTATGATGTTGTCAAATCATATATTTCATAGGTTTAAAATATCTATGCCATTGTATATTACATGTGAATATGTGATGTATGTATAAGTGATTTAAATCAGACCAATTAGACGATAACACAATGGATTCCCGATGGATTTGAATACTATTTATGATATATTTATTTAAAGTTAATTATTTTTATCTAAATTATGAATAAATATACCTATCATAGAAATGAAAGTTTTTAGATACATCCACAAGGAACCTACGGTGGAAAAATGAGCTAAATTATATTTAAATAATATATTGTATTGAGTATTCATACGGTAAACATCATATATTATTTATAAATATTCTATTTTCCTATTATAATTATTACCTGTTGTTATAAATGTATGCAAATACATTGTATCGTAAAAATATTTAATAAGACATATTTTTCTCTAAAATATACATTAATTTATTTACTAACCACCTTGGGGAAAAAACTGTGAGAATATGTGTTTGAACGAATCTTCATCTACCATACCAGTAGGACACTCCTAAAACAAAACGTATATATTAGTTTTATATTTAAAGAAATGTATTTACAAATAACTAAACAAAATTAATCATATTTCAGAGTTTCGGACTTTTCCGTATTTCTTATTTGTACAACTCTAGTATTTGACAAATGAAAATACGTAAGTAGACACATTAATGTACTAATGTTAACAGGCACGTAGCCAGGGGGGGGGCCTGGGTGGGCCGGGCCCACCCTAAATATACTCTGGCCCAAGGCCGGCCCCCCCAAATTCAAAATATAATTATTTTTACCAATTATCAAAAATGTGATTATGCACATTGAGAGAAATCTATTGTGATTACTATTAGGTAATACAATTATTATTGTAATAATTTAATTTTTATATTCGGGGAACCGTGGATAACTTTATCTGAAAAAAATACAATATAATAGGGTCTTGATACCCTTTTTAAAAACAATAATATATTAGCCGCAGTTATCTCTCTTCCAAACTCATCAGGAGCAATTCACTATAACCTCCTCACTCACCCAACTCATCGTCGATTAAAACGAGGTCGTCCCCACGACCTCCTACACTTAGCCACTTCTCAACATCCAGATCTCCACTCTACACACGTGCTTCCTCCAGATAACTCTACGACCTCTCTGCTACTTATAGTTATTAAATTATTGTAAATATGTAAATACTAGAATAATATTATTGTAATCACATTGTAACATCTGTAAATATCTTGTAATCACTAATTGTAAATTATCCTTAGTACTTATAAATATTTAATCATCATGTTATACCTGTTAAAACATAAGTATATTGTCAAATATCCCTAGACATAGATAGCCTTAGGCTAGGAATGTCTTAGTTTAAAATAATAAAAAAAAAAAAAAAAAAGCCGCAGTTATAAGTCTATGCTAAGTTAGCTTGCGAAAGAACTTTTTCATGTCTGAGACGACTGAAAACCTTTCTGAGGAATCGCATGACAAATGATCGTTTAAATAATTTAGCTTCAATGAGCATAAAAAAAAAAATTCTAAAACTTAGATCTAGATATTTTTGTACAATTGTTTTCGGAAAATCATAAAAACAGAAAAATTATTTTATATTGCACTGTTTAATATTTATATAAGTATAAGTGTATTATTAATATTTTCTACTAGTATGTGTTTTTTTTTTTTTTTTAATAAATTTGAGTTTCTTTAAAAATTATATTAATTTAAAAATCGATGATCATTTATCTCTATTATTTTTGATAAGTATTCAAATATGAATTAATTTTTGAAGTTAAACAATTGAAGCAGCTTATTATTTTAAATATGTATGTAGATTTATTTTTCATAGCATGAAAAATGTATCCCATAAGTGAAGATGTAGGTAATTCTATATTTATTTTTTTTTTTTGTTATCAGGTACTTTCTATTTTTGTAATTCTTAAATAAGTAAGTATTAGGTATAACTTGTTGTGAAAAAAATAATTTTAACCAATTACCAACTAAAGGTAAATTATTTAAATTAATAAGATTCTTTGTATTGCATACCCCTTACAAGAATTTCATAAAGAAAAATTTTGGAAAGTAATAAAAGGGCCAAACATTATTGGCCCCCCTAGTAGAAATTTTCTGGCTACGTGCCTGAATGTTAAGTGTATTGTTAAACATAAATATTTACAGAAATATCTGCAAATATTGTTCTAAAAATTAAAAAGTTTATGAAAATAGAATTTTTTCACAAGTGGCCTATTTAAACTTAGATAATCTTTGATAGACACCAATCAGTCGGTATATCATTTCCTTAAATTCAAAGTTATAGAATTAAAATATATTATTATATATCGCGTTATTGGTTTTCAATTACTATAGGTACTGTACTTGTGATTTTTTGTTCAGTTTATTTTAGAGGATACTAGTTTTGACAGTTAAAAACTCTTAAAGTTTCATGGACCTTTTCAATTTAAAATTTAATATAATATGTAGTATAGAAAAGTAATTTTTTTCCAATTCCATTGTAGTTATCTCGAAATTCATAAAATAAAAAATAGGGGGTTATATTAGAAGTATAAAAGGAACTATATACAATCATATATTAGTAAATAGTTTAGAAAAATTTATTTATAACATGGATACTAGTATATAAATAATTTTTAATTAATATAAGAACAAATTTATACCTACATTTTTACCATTTGAAAATTAGTAATACAAATAAATATCTTAATCTCAATAGGGTTACACATTTTTGTAGGCGTACAAAAAAACATTGTTTATAAGTAATCAAAAACACTCTTTATTATTACATAAGTAACTTAATTAATGCGATGGGCTTTATGCTTTTATCTTAGAAACTACTAGGCATTACTCAGCTATTAATCATTATGTCTTAAGAAAATGCAATGACGTAAGAAAAATGTTTTCCTTTGTTAGTCATCTACTCCTAATAATTGAGATATTAAAATACATTTTTTGTAATGCTGCTTCAAAGTACAAAGAAAAAATGTCAAACTATCTTGATTATTTTATTAGAAACATACCTGTTTAAAACCTCTATAAATTAGTTGAATTTCTTTTTTATTGAACTTGGTGATTTTTGTGAGCTTTGTTAACTCTTCTGGTCTGTACCTCGATACGTGTATATTGAACTCATCAATATCTTCTTCTGTAACACATAAACAAAACAATTGTATGAGCAAATATTTCTTATTTATTCTCATTTTCTGCACAAAATACGATGGCATTATTCATAATCAGTATAACCAAACAGTTTGGAACAATTTAAAAAATACTAGAGAATTTATTTAATCTTTAGTATTCATGTGAAAGGACTGATAACCACAGATCATAACGTCGTACAAACTGCAGTCCATTAACATATATCGTATACTATTAAACAATTTGTTTTAAATAAATTTAAATATTTATCATTAGGTTTCGGATATATTTTTATATTTTTATACTTAATACACGTTGTCCTTAAAATTAGCATTTAGGACTGAAAAATTAAAGCATTTTTAGTTGCAAAATAATCCAACTTTTTACTGGAAAACATTTTTGAATATAATTTAGCATATATATTTTATGTGATGATTTTCATTGAAACATTTATACAATTTTTATAAATGATAAAATGGATAGAAGGGTAGCAATTTAATGTACATTTTACGACTAACGAGAGTCGAGTAAAAATACTACAGTTTCAACATACTGCTTCTCTAGTACTCCGCCTTCAAATTAAATTATTCCAAATTAAAATCCCATCTTTGCCTAACATTCTGCGCTGGTGTGTCCTCCTCTCGGTCGACATATATAAAGTTGTGGGGATTAAAGTCGTAAATAAAATAAATTTTATGTGTGTAACGTGTATAAAAATGGGAGGCTGTTTAAACCTTTTTCGCTTTAATTTATTTTGATTCATTAGCATAACACCATAGTGTATTACATATTATAAAAGTTACAGATTTTTGTACACGAAAATAATTATACAATTTGAAATTAATCGTAGTTATTCTGTCTTACCACAAATTAATTTAGTAAGTTTTTAAAGCTTATCAAAATTTCACACAGGTACAGCAATAAAATAAACATCGTGAATAATATTTTTTATACAACTATTTTTATTAGGAGCTTATTGAACACTAAAAAGTAAAAACCAGTTACAACCATTGAATCCACAAGTGTAAGGTATTTGGTTTGTTTGTTTTTTACTTCAACAAGGTAATATTTGAGCCTATATTGAATAACAATTACAAATCATTTCCACAAACTATAAATTATTTTACCATTTATATATAATTTTCTAATAGTTTTATTTAAGATTAACAATGTCCGTCAAAATATTATGTTACATTCCTATCATAATGCCGTTATGATCATTCGTTGTTTTAATTTACCTACACATTTTGTGTGTTCCCGTATAGTATTATATAATATGTTATTTGTATAATGGTCCCCCAGAGTGTAAAATACTTTATTTCAGGATTGTTTTGAAATGGTGATAGGTAATTCGTTCCATTTTCAAATAACTTGATTGGTGATTAATAATTACTCGAATAATATTACTATCAAAATAAATAGTTGGCTACATTTTGATGGGTATTCTCGACGTTTTAAATTTGAAATCCAGTGATGAATTAATATATTCAAAACCAAAAGAGATTACTAGTGGAGCTCGTTTATGTTTTTACATAAAAAAATAATATTTTATATCAAACATTTTACAAGCTGGCTCATAATAATATTGGCTTATGATTGTTAACATTTTTTTAGTAGAGGTTATTAATAGGTTGTATTATTTCTAGATACAGTTTTATTCCCAACCTCTATGAACCATCTATTTAGTGGACTAAAATACATTTCATGTTGCAAAAATAAATCATATTTTTAGTTCGACTAAAAAATCTATACGATCTTAATACACCCATAATGTATACACATATTTATTAAATTGATCAAATAATGATTTTGAAAGAAGAAACCATACATAACTTTTTATTTGACGGTTTCTAGTATTTTTTTTTTGAAATTCTACTTAAAAATATATCAAAATATTTTCATATCTTATCTTGGTATGTAAATGTAAATAGTACATTATATAATAGTAAATATTATGGTGTTATATATTTTGATGAATTATTCATTACCCATGTACCCAATGTAGATATTTTAGAGCACACATTTATTTAGGACAAATGTCAAATATGTAAAAAAAAAAAAATAGTTTTAAAACGTTCCCTGAATTTTCTAATCATAAATAATTTTATTTACTAATTTTAGTAACAAGAATAATAAGATAATATTAAATGTTTCATAAAATCTAAATTTTTTTTTATGATCATTTAAAAATTAAAAGTGATGAAAGAAAGGATTTCATAACGGTTATACGTTACAACATAAATATGTAATAAAAAAATGACGATATGGAACATAAAACAATCGACTACCAAATGTTAGTATTAAATTGTTTGTGTATAAAATATGAACAATTCTGGTAAAAAAAAATTAAAACATGTTAAAAATTCATATTTTTTAGGATGAAAATGTAAAATCCACAACATTTTTAATTAAAATTTTTTTCATCATAAAATACTTTTTAACGTACTCAATGTCTTAAATTATGTATACCTTGAAAAAAAATATAATTCATTTATTTAGGATAATATCTCGGTACAGATATTATATACTCATAATTTTGTAAAAGAGAACATTCTATATTAAATAACATTATTGGAATTATTTAAAATTTGTAAATTATAAAAACATAATACACAATAAATATTCAACTAGATTGATATTTATTGATGGTAAATCCTTTGGTTATTACTATTCGATTCTCTTTTGAGATTTAATGTTAACATTTAACATGGCTTTACCAAACCAAAGAGTTAACGGTGTTTCCTTTTGGGATATTTTATATTGTTTACGGGCCAAGGAGGGCAACGATGGTGGTAAAACCTTTTTGATTTTAATTTTGGACTTCTAATAATAAACTATTGCCCCAGTGGATTATATATATTTTCCGGTGCGAGACGACCCTTACCGTAGATATGCAATACAACTTGTCAATAAAATAAAATATGGTTTTGATTGTACTAAAATGCAGAGATGTATATTGAATATGATACAAACATTTTTCTATCCGTTAAATACCTACTGACATTTTTAAATACCATTTCGAAACTATACCAACACTATAGTGTATTATTATACAAAATATACCTACAACAGGACTACATTACAGTCAAATAATTAGTCCAATGACTTGGTCTAATTATGTGTCATAATAATATTGTTTAGTAACTATAGGTACATGAGTAATATATAATTATACCATCAACGATATTTTTAAGTGGAAATTACATTATATAAGATTTAAAGTAGGTATATTGAAAGTATATTTGGTATGAAATAAATTAGTGTTCAAAATTTGTCATAAAACAAACTATACAATACATTTCATTAGTAGGGACAGAGATTTCGGATTTATATCAAATATAATAAAATTATATTCAATCATATAATGTTTCGAAAGCATATATACATTTAATGTGATGCTACGATGGGTTAATGCAATTCCTAATTATTGCATATTAGTTGGTATATTACATTATCATAGAGTTTTAAATTATTCGTGTATATTTCTGAGGAACACTTTCATGCAAATATTTTTCGTACACTTTTGTTTATAAAAATGTGTACCTACATAGCATACAAATCCACCTTAGCTTCAGATAATAAAATTAACTTACAAAAAACAGTAACTACTGTTTTCTTTTCATATTTTACAACATTAATCATTTCAAAATATATACTGCGCAACCATGACACTAAAAGTTAAATTCTCGAGAAAACTAAAAAAGAAAAAAAACAAACATATTATATCTCAGTTAGAAATGTATTGTAGGTAAATTACTCAACAAACTGACGTTAGAAATGAAATCATTTTTGTTAAATTTAAGTACGATAGAAAAAGGTATTTTTATTATTATTAATAATGTAGAAATTAAAAAGGCTTTTAGAAAACCACTACTACTTTCTAACCATTCTTTTTTATATGATTAAAAACCCCCGTGGCTCGTTCACTGTGACATTTATTGTAGGTAACTATAGTTTTTGATAAAATTATGAATTACCTACCTACTAGTCGTAATTCATTTTTGGAGTTTTATAGTAATTTAACTAATATTAATCATGTTATATAAAATGAAATAATGCAGTGTTAGTGTTATGAATAATTATTTATGTTATTTTTTTAGGTAGGTAGGTAGGTACTAATATAATAATTAACAGTTATACAAAGATACTGCAGGAAAAAATTATTATACATCCGACATACACCTCATTAATGTTATAATATAGGTACTTATTTATGCTATGAATATTATGTTATTGAATTAAACACTGACGAAAACAAGTTGAAAAATGAATTAACTTAGTGTACCGTTATAATTTTATTTAAACGTAATATTTTAGTACTCATTAAAAATACTGAAATTCTGTAATCTTAAAATGCTTCACCAAGTATTTTTAATAAATAATTTTTTTTTCAGAAAACATTTCATAACATTTGAAAAATATTGAAGTATTTTTATAATTTCACTACGACTAAAGCTAATTTGCATTAATGAATAAACAGATTTTAGGGACAAAAAAGTTGTGACGTATGTGTTCCAACTTTTGTTTAGTTTATACTAAATCAAACATTTTATAATGATTATAATGAGTTACCTATTTGATGTGTAGGGAATTTCGATATCGATGTTTGAAATAATAATTGTAATCTGCCCATAAACTGGTAAAAAACATCATTAAAAAGAATCTACTCATTTTGTGACGGTAAATATCTACTTTGGGGTTGAGACCGAAAACATTTTTCTATAAAAAATCACGACCTGCATTTACATTTTAATTGAAATGAACAAGTCGAGCAAAAGCTATTAAACTCCATGTGAACACCGTTCACGCGCTGGTATTGTTGTGTCCATGTTGCAGAGAAAAGTTGTTTAGGAAACAAAATCAGTTTCAAAATTGTGGGTTGATAATATTATACAAGTTGGCTCTGAATAGTCGTATTCTAACCAGAACTAACAAGTGATACTACACGTTTGAGCGACGAGGGACCAAGATAAACTGATAAATGTATTTAGTTCATTCGAACACATGTTGTTGTGTTGAAGTACGCATAATAATAATATAATATAGTCATCATAATAAATCAGAACAATAACAATTACTAACGAGC